GGTTTATTGCTCAAAAGGTGTTAAATTATGAAGTTGAATGAATTTTTCTTACTGTGAGACTGCTGTAGTTGTGATACAATTATTTAAAAAAAAATAATAAGTGTCCCCTTAATAGGGGTTATTTGACCATTTGGTACACTCAGAAAGTGTCCCCGTCCCTTTAATAGGAGTGTCCCCTTAATAGGGGTCGGCCGTAGTGTTAAAAGATATATTGCCCCTCGTTTCACGGAAAAATGTCCCCTTAATAGGGGTGTCCCTGAATAGGGATGTCCCAAAGGAGGGGTTCTACTGTAATAGACTTAGATTTGTGTAAATACATCTAATACAAACAAGGAATTATCTTTATTGTTTTGACTGATTCAACACACATGAATTAATCAATATATAATTGGAATAATAATACACACATAGCGATTGGTAACCTATATTCACGAAGATAGAATTATTAATGTAAGCGTTCGAAATAATACGTGTTATGCATGAAAACATTAACGAGACGTGTCTTAATATCCCAACTAATGTTATATAGGCCCAGCCTAGATAATAAAATTCAGCAGTAAAGGGTCCAACAGATAAAGTTAGAATGTCGGAAGCACTCAGGGTCTCTGGCAGGGTCTCGAAGTACATAATTTTCTAAAGGCTAAATTCACATCGACTCCGCTTTCGGAAAACCAACCGAACCGATCAAAAAATCGGCGGTATGTAAAGGCCAACTCAGACAGCGTCGGCCGACGCAGCCCGACCCGATTTATCGTCGGGGACAGTCTTAAGCCGTCGTGAGAAATATTAAACACGTTTAATATTCTACTACGCGACTGCCCCCGACGCACACCGTCGCGTCTGCGTTCAACTCACACAGACCCGACGCGACAGCAAATCGCGTCGGGCTGCGTCGGCCGACGCTGTCTGAGTTGGCCTTAAGAATATAGGGACGTTGGAGTTCAGCGCATCGGAAACGCGGTCCGAATTCGGTTCGGAGCCGATGTGAACGCAGTTTCAGTCTGAAAACATTGTACCTTTAGGCCACAACATTAGGGACTATCAGCATAATAACTTTACTTGGATCATAGGGGGTCTATGTTTGTTTGTCCGTCGATGGATTCCTATCCCCGACCCTATATTGGCGCCACCACCTGATATAATTTTGGAATATCAAGGATATGTTAAATTATGTGAATTAGTATTTTACGGGGAGAAGTAAAACTACTCTCAAGTACTCACTTTTCAAGTCGTTGTCTGTCTTTCTTTTACTTAATCAATCACAAGGTCCACTAATTTGTAAAGTTGTTAACAAATCAAGGAAAACAATGAGAGTCGGCTATGCTCTTTTAGAACACAAGACTTACTATACGACGCATTCACAGGATCCCATAGATTGGTGGTACATGAACCCAAGAAAACTTCCTTGTGAGATTTTCGTGTGAACCTACCCATCAGGCTTTTTCTAAGCATATTGGGTCAGTGAGTCTTTTTTGTATACTGACAATGCATGGGACAATAGGCGATGATTCTTTAGATAATTTGTTAACATGTGATCCAGTGTAAACTACTTTAACTGTTTTGCAGTGAACCGTGTTTGATAAAATGAAAGTCAGGTGTTACAGGTAAGTCTATTAACCGATCGATTACAGACATTTTAGTTACTCACAATGGCCTAATAAAAGTTATTCAGCTGTTGACGTTTATTCCGCTTGTATATAGATACTAATTTCACCAACCAACAAAAATAACCCACTGCTTTGTGACATCATCATTATTTCTTGACGTATATACTATGATGCTAAGGGTGTACTATTAAGACAGTAAATGGCAAAAAGAAAACAACTTATTAAATAATGAGCCAACGGCTTAAATTTATAGTACTAACGCAATCAGTTCCGAGTTTAAGATAGTTTAGTATCTTAAAATAATGATATTGAGTTAATAGTAATGTTATTGTCGTGATGGAATAATAGACAATAACTGGATTTGCGTCAGGAGAAACATGTATAGGTGTAATTTTGCCCTACCTAACGTGGAAATGTACCGAAAACTCAGTACAGTTGAAAACAACTGCGAAAAAATCGCAAGTTGTTCTCGGGTGGGACTCGAACCCACGATCTCCAGATCACTAGCCTGGCATCATACCTCTAGACCACCGAGCTTGCGCC